CCACTTGCTCAGAGAGCTCTTGGATAATTTGAAGAAAACTAATATTCGCCTCATAGGAATCCCTGAAGGTGACAAAGTTGCTTCACAAAACAGAGGCTCTGCTTCATGAAATTATGAAAGAGCACTTTCCAGATATGCCAAGGGATTCTGAAATTCAGACAGCAGACAGCTTCAGAACCCCAGCACAACTCAACCTGAACAATACATCCCCCAGGCATATCATAATCAACTTCACTAAAGTTAACATGAAAGAGAAAATCTTGAAAGCAGCTAGATGCAAGAAAACATTAACTTACAAGGGGGAGAATATTAGAATGACTGCAGATCTCTCTGCCAAAACCTTTCAGGCTAGAAGAGGGTGCTCATTGAACTTCAACCTCCTAAAACAAAACAACTTTCAACCCAGAATTCTGTATCCAGCTAAACTGAGTTTCATTTATGATGGAGAAATTAAATACTTTAACGACATTCACATGTTGAAGAAATTTGCCATAACTAAACCAGCCCTCCAGGATATCCTCAGAAATATCCTCCATAATGACCAGCGCAATCCTCCACCACATAAATAAACCCACCCAGAAAATTTTGATCAAATTCCAATCTCCACAGTGACAAAAGGAACAAAGATGTCCACTGGACTTTCAAAAAACTCAATACCCAAAAGTATATCAGGCTTATCAATAGTCTCAATCAATGTCACTAGCTTAAATTGCCCGCTAAAGAGGCACAGGCTGGCTGACTGGATACAAACACTCAGGCCAGATATCTGCTGCATCCAAGAAACTCACCTTACTTTGAAAGACAAGCATAGACTCAGGGTGAAGTGATGGTCATCTATATTCCAGGCTAATGGAAAGCAGAAAAAAGCAGGTGTTGCAATTTTATTCGCAGATGCAATAGGCTTTAAATCAACAAAAGTGAGGAAGGACAAAGATGGTTACTTTATATTTGTTAAGGGTAATACTCAATACGATGAGATTTAAATTATCGATATTTATGCACCCAACCAGAATACATCTTATCAATATTTATGCACCCAACCAGAATACATCTCAATTTATAAGAGACACTCTAACAGACATGAACAACCTGATTACTCCCAGCTCCATCATAGTCGGAGGTTTTAATACCCCTTTGACAGTGCTGGATACATCCTCCAACAAGAACTTAGCAAAGAAATCTTGGGTTTAAACTTAACCATTCAGTATTTGGAATTAACAGACATCTACAGAACATTTCACCCTAATAAAACTGAGTACACATTTTCCTCATCAGCTCATGGAAGATACTCCAAAAATAGACCACATCTTAGGTCACAAGTCTAACCTCAGCAAATTTAAAAGAATAGAAATTATCCCTGTATCTTCTCAGACCACCATGGAATAAAAGTTGAACTCAGCAACAACAGGAATCTGCAGACCCAAACAAAAACGTGGAAGCTAAATAACCTTATGCTCAATGACACTTGGGTCAGAGATGAGATCAAGAAGGAAATTACCAAATTCTTGGAACTAAACAACAATGAAGAAACGAGTTATCAGAACCTTTGGGATACCACAAAGGCAGTCCTTAGAGGGAAATTTATAGCACTGCAAGCCTTCCTCAAGAAAACGGAAAGAGAAGAAGTTAACAACTTAATGGGACACCTCAAGTAACTGGAAAAGGAAGAACACTCCAATCTGAAACCCAGCAGAAGAAAAGAAATAACCAAAATTAGAGCAGAATTAAATGAAATTGAAAACAAAAGGATTATACAACAGATTAACAAATCAAAAAGTTGGATTTTTGAAAAGGTCAATAAAATAGATAAGCTATTGGCCAACCTAACCAAGAAAAAAGAGTTAAATCTCTAATTTTATCAATTAGAAATGGTAAAAATGAAATTACAACAGACCCCTCAGAAATCCAAGAAATCTTCCATGAATACTACAAGAAACTTTATTCTCAGAAATATGAAAATCTAAAGGAAATCGACCAATACTTGAAAGCACGCAACCTCCCAAGACTTAGTCAGAACCAAGTGGAAATGTTGAACAGGCCCATATCAAGCTCTGAAATAGCATCAACTATACAAAATCTCCCTAAAAAGAAAAGCCTGGGACCAGATGGCTTCACATCCAAATTCTACCAAACTTTTAAAGAAGAGCTAATACCTATACTTCTTAACCTTTTCCAAAATATAGAAAAAGACGAAATACTACCCAACATATTCTATAAAGGCAACATTACCTTGATCCTCAAACCAGGAAAAGACACAACAAGAAAAGAAAATTATAGACCAATATCTCTAATGAATATTGATGCAAAAATATTCAACAAGATCCTAACAAACAGAATCCAGCAACACATCAAACAAGTTATATACCATGACCAAGTGGGTTTTATCCCAGGATCTCAAGGCTGGTTCAACAAATGCAAATCTATAAACATAATACACCACATAAACAAATTTAAAAAACAAAGACCATATGACCCACTCAATTGATGCAGAAAAAGCTTCTGACAATATCCAGCATCCACTCATGATCAGAACACTTAAGAGAATTGGCATAGAAGGGACTTTTCTCAAGTTGATAGAGGCCATCTACAGCAAACCCACAGCCAATATCGTATTGAATGGAATCAAAATGAAATCTTTCTCACTCAGATCAG